TTAGAAGAACAATCTAAAATCAGGCGTTCTCTCGAAATTATTTATAAGATATCTATTCATCGCTTAGAATGGAAGCTACAACAATGCCGGGCTGATAAAGGATTATTAGAATATAATCGAGATCGAATCTTTGATAAATACTACAATAAATTCAAGGTTCGGAAGGCAAGTCATATCAAGTGGAAAAATAGGGAGCGTAATTCACAGCAATTAATTTTGAATTTGAATCAACAAATTTTTGCGCTTCAGAATAACTTACCTCAAAATAATAATCATATAGGAATGGCAGGTTACGCACCAACCCCATTTTATGGAAAAGCTGGAGAAGACCCTGAAGAATGAATTAGAGATTTTAGGCAATATTGTGGAGCATCCGGACTTGATCCACTTGCAGATGCTCGAACCAGAATAAGAATTCATGGACTTTTTGAGACTTGTTTGAAAGATGATGCAAGAGATTGGTACGAGACTAATCTCAAGAATAAAAATTGGGAATTGCAAAATATTAGCGATAATACAGGTTTAGCAACTCTTGGCGTAATTAATGGATTGGCTAATAATAACGCATTGCGTGCTATTAATGCCAATCAGTTTAGAGGGGGAGCTCTCCAAATAAGAAATACAGTTCCAGCTGACAATAATGCAATTGCTACACCATTAGTACTCGCTCATACCGTTTTTGATGAAGACTGGTTAATATCGGGTGGTCGACCAACAGAATTAGCTCCCAATGCTCCCAATGCTAATGCAGGAGGAAATACTATAGCTCCAGGGATCCGCATTGGACAGATAATATACTGGTTTAGAACTAATTATCCAACAATAACTGCTGAGAAATCAAAAGTTGTATTTAATAATATTACTCAAGGAACTGATCCTATAGGCCGATTCTATGCACATTTAAAAAGAATGGTTGTACTTGCTTATCCAGCACTCCCAGCATTAAATCGGGAAGAAATGGTTAGACAGCAATTCTTTCAAGGCCTTTCTCCTGATAATAAAATAGAAGTAAGACGTATTGGTCTTGAACATCCAATTTCCACTTTACTACCAAAATTAGAAGAAATCGAAAGACAGAAGGCTGAAATGATGTTAGGCCAGTATGATCCCAATTCTTATCCCGTTATTTCTCGTTCACGATCTACAGCTAATACAAAAGATCCTTATATAACAAACAATACAAGTATGACCAAAGAAGAAATCGAAAATTTGGTGAAAGGTATTATGGCATCTTCACAATCTCAACCTATTTCTACACAATCAGCTCCTCAGCAAATACAACTGTTACAACCACCTCAGCTATCTCAACCATCTTTGCCATCACAACCATCTCAGCTGTCTCGACCTTACTATGGACCACAACCCGCAGGAACAGACCAATTTGTACGAGATGCAAACATTGGTAGATTTATACAATGGCTCACTGGGGAAGTTCCAGAATTTGTTCCCCTTCCCAAACCCGATTTACCTCCAAAACCACAGATAAAAAAAGTAGAAGTTGACTCTGATGAAGAACTGGCTAATCTTACCAAAAAACAATTAAAATTGCATGTAGCTAAAGCCGTTAAAAAAGCTGTGAAAACCCAACACCATTGTTCAAAATGCCATAGAATTGGTCATCGTTCAAATTCTCCTAAATGTTCGAAAAATAAAAAGAAGAGCCAGTCCAGAAAGAAAGGTAGTGTCAATAAGGTTTCTATAGATTCCAATTCTGATACTAATAATTCTTCCAGTAGCGATTCTGAATCTGATTCTGAGACAGGGTCTGATGCTGAGAATTCGTCTTCTGAATCTGAGTCTGAAAGCGATGTCAAAGTTCATATTACCAAGGCAAAAAAAAAGTAAAGCAGAAGGGCGCCCCTACTAAATCATCCTCTAAGAAGAAATCTAAACCCCGCAAAAAGAAACAGAAGGATCCTTCCACTTCTGATAAATCCTGAAATAAATCGACTGTTATTGGCCATGCCAGTCCTGCTGATAAGTCTCTCTAAAAGATTGTATTAGAAATATTTGATGGTATTACATCCATAGATTGGATAGAAAAACTCAAAGTTAAAATTGAGAACTCATCCAATATGTATTCATCTACCAAAAAATCTGATTTCACAAATTATAGAGAACCAGTTCAAGAAATACCCGATGAAGCAAAGTCTCGAATCTTTGATTCCTCGGATGGGGAAGAGGAGACGTTAGATGATCCTATGAAGATTGATTTTGTTCGAAGAAAGGAACCTGTCACAAGCCTTGCAACTATACCGTGTAAAATCAAACGCTTAAAAATTCCAGCATTGGTACTCGATAGTGGAGCTGAACCTCCAATTACGTCAGAAGATATTGTTAAATGTGTAAATTGGCCAATTGATAAATCAGAAAAATATGATCTTAGTGGTGTTGCAACAGT